AAGGCATTAAAGCAAGCATCAGGTATGATGAAGCAAGCTCACTTTAACTACTCTCGAGACAACACAATTTCTCTGTTGAATAAATATTCTCATCGATATGTCATTGGTGATAGACGTCATCGCATCTTGCACCACATTGATTGAGAGCCAATTAACGGCCGTTATATCTAGAAATTGTGCTCACGAATGCCAGATAAGAACGACTCGAACACAGTATATTTTTTCGGCTTTGATCGCCGCATGACTAATTGAATCGCAGGATTTGAATGACGTTATGATCACGTTATGAATGTCAAGGTGACCTTGAAATATCGTCCCCATTTCCACCGGCGTGTAGCCGAGAGACTGGAGGGGTTTAGGTCTTTAAAAGCGTATGACTGTGAGCTGCACCGCAAGATTTTCAGATAGCTATTCCAGTTCAAAACCCGACATCAATGTGGAACGTTCTCTTCATAACGTCTTGGTCGGCGTCGAAGTAGTCATGGCAGCACACGCTCGTAAAAACCTTTTCTCTGTTGCAACATTACTTGCAGTGCCATTTTCATCATTTGCGTTTCTTGGACATCATGTAAATAGCACGACTTACACTACAAAAGGTATTGCCAGTTGACATTGTTACTTGCATTATATTCACGCATTGTTTACGCCATTATGTAATAGCCGGGCAAATGTTACGAATACTCCTGCAAAAAACAGGGTTTACAATTTCAGGCACAAGACAGGGCAAGGCGCGTTGAGTTAAAGAATGGGATGGGGATGCAGCAGTTTGGGGAGAACCCTGCCTGGATTGGCGCGGTGCATACCACGTCGCCCGAAGGAAAGCGCAAGGGAAGGAAAACGAACGGGTGAAGAGAAAACAAGTGTGAAAAAACATAGCCATGAACACTCCGACGAGATTGCGTGACGCCAGTGCCTTTTTCTTTGCTTTCAGATCTTTGTCTTCGAGATTTTTACTTGTTTCTAAGACCATCATGGGGCCTGCTTTCTAGTTCGTGGCTAAAAGCTTGACGATTTCTTCCTCCAAAATATTCCGAAATATAGTATCCAGAAATCAGTTCTGGCGAAGTATCGTTGAGTTCTTCTCTGGTCAGCTTTGCGCTCCGGCGTTGGTTAGAAACAGCAGACAGAAGCATGTTTAAAAAAGTCATTGGGTTTCGCTTCCGCTGATCTCATTCTAAACACTGGCGTGTGTATTCTCATTCAACATTCACTTGGTGGAATCCCAAGAGCACCTCTCAGCCCCACAGGATCTTTCGTGAAGCATAGCAGGCGGATACAGCATCACAGAGGACTATCTGACGCAATGTATACACAAATCCTGCGTTTATTTTCATTTTAGATGGCATAGACAGTTGGAACAATTACACTGCAAATCCCCAGGTGCATTTTACGACGGGATCCCAGCCGGGCAATGGTGCAATGTGCAGCGCCCCCTCTTCAGGACGGAGTTCTGTGCTCAGAGTGGGTGGCTGTCACACCCGGAGGCGGAAGTCGCTCGGCCACACTGTTTTTGCACAATTATTTTGCTTGCTTTTGACCTTGTGCAGTTTTCTAGGTGCGCTACAGCATTCACAAAGGACGTCTGTGTTACATGCCGCGTTTCTGACCAGTCGTCGCCAGTAGAACTGATTCTTGAGGACAGTTCCAAAGCGCAGATTCCATCTTCTGGAGACCACCGGCGACAGTTGATAGCCATTGAACGCAAAAATGGCGGACGGAAAACTTGTTGCGAACATTTCGTAATCATTTTACAAGTTGTGTCGTTTCAGACCAAATGTAAATTATAATAATTATGATGATGAATGATAATGGCTTTCCACCGAGGTGACAACTGCATGGAAATCACCTCCGAGAAGCGAGGTTCTTCGGACACCAGTGGTCGCGTAATTCATTCAGGTAACCAGAGTAGTAGAGCCACGCCTGATGGCTACAAAATGCCACCAATCTAAAAACAGTCTAATAGCAAAAAACAGATTGCATTTCACTTGTTGATCCTGCAAGATAGGCAGGCATAATTCAATAGATACCTGTAGAGTACAGCAGCCATGCCCGAACACGCAAATATTCTCGCTGATATCCACAAAACCATATTTTCTACGCGCACGAGTGTCTGTTGCGACCACCGCTGAGCTGCCCGCTGGGCGTGCGGCCGGGGCCAGAGGTTATGTCAAGCTCTTCGGAGCCGTCTACTGCTCACTGTTCGCTCATGCGGTGTTGGCCGTCGCCTGCTTGACGGTCGTTTTTTTCGCGGAGCGGACGTGGCGTTATAGCTGAGCGAGCCCAGAAACTCGCCACTGCACGTCACCATCGCTGCATCACACAATGTGATCAGAGCCTTAGCCACGCGAGGTGACACGGGTCAGTGGGGTCACGCCGTCTTGAGCGTTGTGCGCCAGCCAGGAGGCGCCGTCAGTGCCGGTCGCTGCTGGCACTCGGAGACCCCTGGGCAGAACGGCACGGGTCGGGTCAGGTTAGCCTGTTAACTGACGCGCCGGCTGTCGGGGTGTGCAGGCTGACGGTCTGGCGGTCATCCACGACCACATGGCGACGGTCGTGTGACGTGTGGCGTGATGTGGCGTCGGTGTGGGAAAGCATGTGATCACCCCGCTGCACGTGTCTTCAGCGTTGCATTTTTTGGGGTGGTGGGGACTCACCTGACTCAGTCACCCGAAAGGCACGATGTTGTTTAATGTACGCGATATTAAAGGCAATCAATCTACCGCATGATTGCGCTGCTTGCTAAGTCATGTACTCCGCGAACTGGCACATGCTGACCAGTGGTTATCTGTAGCGCTGTCTCTGAAAATTGGGCATCATAATATGGTTATAATCCAATTGAGTGGCGAACATATGCATATTATATAATTGTGCAAAGTATCAGAACTGTGCAAGCGAGAAGCAAGGCAAATGAAGTATGCAGAGCGATAGAAATACACCCCTCGAGCTCCATCCTAACTGTCCAACCAAACATGGGTCCTTTTGCCTCCTGTATATTCCCCATCTCTACTACAATCTAATCCAATGCTTGTCATGCACGCAGCCAAAAAAAGTTCAGAACCTGTCTTAACTTCACATGAAACTGGCTACAGCGTTCGACGTGGAGCCAAATGTAGCTGGCTTTATGTGTAGCCTTGTCCGGGAAATGTAGCCATGTCCGGGACCAGAACTGCACTAGGAGCGAAGGCAATGCCCATGTACATACAATGGCTTTTCCGACTGGCTGGCATGTTCTGACATTTTAGCACTGCGCGCACGTAGCCCTTGTTGTAGTTTAAACAGTCCATTACAGAATGGACCAAAAATAAAGCTCGTTTGGGGAGTCAACCAAGATGAGCGGATGAGTTCGGCTCGAACCGTCGCGCCAGATCTCTCCAGGTCAACGTGTTTGGCTAGGTCAGGGACGTTTGAGCTCAATGCGACCGGGCCTGGTCAACTCGGAACCACGGGCTATTTTCGACTTGCAAAGTGCGGCCCAATGAGTTCAGAGTGAACGTATGGCCACCCTCACCCAGTTTTCAGGTAGGACCAATACTGCGCAATACGGCTGCTTCGGGTGCACGCCGAAGTGTCACGCTACACCAAGCTTCGCTATTGGCCCGCCACGTGCGTACGCAGCCCCGCGCGGCCAGCGGTCGATTGCCGCTGCCGGGTCTGCCGCGGTCCATGTCGTCGCGTGACGTCCGAGATGAGGCGCCACCGGACCACCCCTCCGCCTCGCGCCAATATCCGGTCAACGACGGGAATAGCCCGCCGGCGCGCCGAAGAAACAGTGCGCGCCGCCGCGCTCATCGGCGGCAGGCAAGGGTTTAAGGGCTCTGCGTGCTGCCATGGCTATCACGTACGCACACGGCGCAACATTGTTCGTAAGCAAACCATGCATGTCCGATGAGGGAGCCGAGGACCGCCGCTCGCATGAGCCATGGTGTTGAAATGCGTAGAGGAGGTCGCCCTGTGCTAAGACGTTTGTGGATGTCGTGTCAGGTTTGACAAACTTGTCGGTGGTATTAGAGCGTGCGACCAAACAGATGGTTGCACGTTGATATCGGATGGTTTGGATGTTTTTTTATTATTTGGATGATCGGATGGTTGTGTATCTCGGATTGAATAATAGCGTGGACTTATACGTCACCTCACTCATTTTACGCAAGGCTTGTAATCAGAAGACCCCGGTTCGAATCCCAGTAATATCGAGTTGTAAATTCGGGATGTGAAGTGTAAGTAGCGGAACGTGAAACACCATCCAAGCATTCTCAGAACCCAGCAACACCTATGGCGCTGGAATAACTTGTTGGCCCTAACGTTGTGTATATACTAACGCACAGCCTGGGGACGATACTCCCAACAACTGCTCCATCTGCAATTAAACATTAAACATAAACATTGACTGCGTAGCCGGACATCGAAGCAAGGCAGGTTAAAGCCGTGTCTGTCCGCCTCTCTTTATCCCACCTCCGGTCTCCAAAGACGATCAAAAGACAATCACGTGTGACAGTTGTGCCATGTCGTCACAATGGTGCATCATGCTGAAACAGTGGTGCCTCATGTCGCGACGATGAAACCTCGTGCCGAGGCAATAGCCCCACAGACATGGCTGCTCCGTGTCACGGCGACGCCATGATGTCTCATGCCGTGGCATGACATACAATGTTGGGGCGGTCGGGCGTCATGCCATGGGAGTGGAGCTCCACGGCATGACAGCTGCGTGCCTTGGTAGTGATTTCTTATGCCGTGACCTTGCTGTGCCTTGTCATAACAGGTGTCGTGTCATGACAGTGGTGTGGCGTACCCGTGCAGAGGCGCCTTACGCCATGGTGGTCACATGTCATGCCATGGCAGTAGTGCATCACGTCACGGCGGTTATGCATCACGCTGTATTGGTGACGTGACGTGCCGTGACAGCGGCGCGCTGTGCCACGAGAGCACCGTGCCGTGACAGCGGCGCGCTGTGTCACGAGAGCACCGTGCCGTGGCGTAACAGCGCTGTTCTCTGACGCTCGCAGATGGAGATGACGGCAGCAAGCCCGGCAGCGAACACCAGCGGAGCGGAGCCCGCCATCGAGTACTGCGGCGCCGGCGTGGCCGCCTTCAGCGTGGCGTACCGCCAGCTACACGGGTACCTGGCGCTCGGCGTCTGCCTCTTCGGCCTCACCACCAACATCCTCAGCATCGTGGTGCTGACGCGCAAGACCATGGCATCACCGACCAACGCCATCCTGGCCGGTCTGGCCATCGCCGACATCATGGTCATGGTCATGTACGTGCCGTTCACGCTGCACTACTACATCCAGGCGTTCGGCGCGTCCAGCCTGACCTACGGGTGGGCTGTGTTCATGCTGACTTACGTGCATGTGACACAGGTATTCCACACCGTCTCCATCTGGCTGACGGTGGTGCTGGCCGTGTGGCGGTACTTGGCGATCGGACACCCGTCGCTGAACCGCGAGTGGTGCTCTATGAAGAACACGTCTGTGGCTATCGTGTCCGCTTACATTTTCTGCCCGATTCTCTGCATCCCGTCCTTTCTCACCTTCGCCATCACGCCGATCGACAACTCCACCGGCCGCTTCCTGGTTGACTTCAGTGACCTCAGCAAGCAGAGCAATAAGCTCCTGGAGAAGCTCAACTTCTGGGTGTACAGCGTGCACGTCAAGCTGCTGCCCTGCGTCATCCTGACTATCTTCAGCTGCTGCCTTATCTGGGAGCTATTGAAGGTCAAGAAGAGGAAATCAGAGCTGCTTCACCGGGCGACCGCCGGCAACAGCAAGCTCTCGTGCGCCGAGCGGCACACAGTGCGCACCACACGCATGCTGTTAGCCATCCTGCTACTCTTTCTGTTGACCGAGTTCCCCCAGGGCATCCTGTCGCTATTGTCCGGTATTCTGGGTGAGCAGTTCCTGGACCAATGCTACAACAAGATGGGTGATCTGATGGATATCCTGGCACTCATCAACTCAGCCATAAACTTCATCTTCTACTGTTCCATGTCCACCCAGTTCCGCTCCACGTTTCAGCAGCTGTTTCTCTCCTTCGAGTGGATGCCGCGACCGTTCAAGATGGGCATTGCCTCGGATGGAACGGACTGCACCCGGGTCTAGGACCGGGATGACAATGCAGGGAAATAACAGCACTAGACTCTGAGACAGCGACCAGCTGACTGCACCCGAGTCTGCGACCTGGATAACTAGCGGGGAGAGCGAGAAGGGAGCTCTCGCACTTCTCTCGCGGACTGCGACATCCCTCAAAGCAATGTTGTCGTGCCACACAACCATATTGGCATGGTTGACAGGCAGGGATTTGTGACGTATCTCGTTATGGGGAAGGAAGTTTCCTCAAGGAAGATTTGTATGTACTTTTTCGTAGCTATTTGCACGCCTCAGTGTGTTGAATGTGTCATCAGGGAATTGCACGGCATCGGCCAAATGTTGTGAGACACAGTTTTAAAGAGCGAATCTAAATGATCAAACTCCACAGATGATTATCAAGAGGCAAGACTTTTGGTTTTGCCAGTTAGACGAGCACTTTTTGGAACGTCTTTCGCCAGCAGACGTATTGGTCCCTTCAACCCACTTTTATCTTAAATATTTCTAAGTAATAAATATATTTAGTACTTCTACGCACTCATGGATACTGAGCCGCTTTCAGACACACGAGCTCAGAAATACTTGACGTTAAATATACATAGATATTGAGCGGCTTTCAGTTACAAATGGTGAGAAATACTTGGAGTCAGATATACGTAGATATTGAGCGGCCTCCAGTTACATGTGGCGAGAAATAGTTGGAGTCAGATAAACATAGGCATTGAGCGGCTTTCAGTGACATGATGTCAGAAATACTGGCCGTCAGATATACCAGTCACCTTTTATAAGTGAAGACGACTGTCTTGTTAAATACATACTATTTGCACGGATTTCCCACAATTGTATTGCACAAATGGGTAACACCTCTTGAATCAGTGGCATGGCCGTGCTTGGCAGTCAGCTTAAAATGGACGAACCAAAGCTACTTCAGATTATTACACCACGAATTTCAATTTCTTTATCTCTGCCTGCTCTCGTTTCTTGCCGGAAGGAGTGTGGTCAAAAGGGCTTCGGTTCTGCGTGAGTTTTGACTTGAAGATTTGCAAGTGCCTGTTGTACAGGGGTTTTGCACTATATGTTAGGTGGTCTGGAAACTTCAAATTCAGTGTCTTTCTGGTTCTTTTCGATACGTTGGTGTGACATTGGTTTACAATCGTGTGTATAGAGAGATTCGTGTCCGTAGCCGTGCATTAAGCATATACTTTCATTTTATTTTCGCAAGATGGTGTACCTGTCTTCGCTTGTATTGGTTACAAAGACATGCCTTGTGACCGTAAACTAGGGCATGGGATGGTGTTTGTGCTAACAGTCAGAGTTTTCTGGCAGTTATCAATGTGATACGTGGCCAGCGACGTCTCTGATTATGAGCTTACTGTACGTTCTCAGTGAACGATCGCTTTAGCGCGTTTCTGACCAGAGACTAGTTCAGAAGTCAATAAGTCAAG